GGGCTGCCCAGGTAGCTTCGACCGGCTATCAGGTTGGCGTAGGTGCTCCCCAGGTAGCTTCGACCGGCTATCAGGTTGGCGTAGGTGCTCCACAGGTGGCTTCGACCGGCTATCAGGTTGGCGTAGGTGGTCCCAAGGTGGCGGCCACGGGCTATCAGGTTGGCGTAGGTGCCTCCAAGGTGGCTGCGACCGGCTATCAGGTTGACGTAGGGGCTCCCCAGGTGGCGGCGACCGGCTATCAGGTTGGCGTAGGTGCCTCCAAGGTGGCTTCGACCGGCTTCCAGGTTGGCGTAGGGGCTCCCCAGGTGGTGGCGACTGGCTATCTGGGCAAGCAAGTGGCTCCTGCTCTGGTTAAATCTGTGACTGGAATGCAAGTGAACCCTGATAGTGTGAGGGTTGTGTGTGGGGAGGATTCAGTTATGGTGGATGTGCAACAAGACCTTCTAGCTATTGGCCAGCTGATCAATGCATCAGACATCACCTTTGGTGGCTGTGCACCCATTGGACAGGATGCTTCTGGCACAGTGAGGTTTCTATCTGCGCTGCAGGCCTGTGGAAGTACACTGACGGTATGAGGGCTTCCTTCTGATGTTTACTGTGTTAGCTATGCTAGTGCTAATCATGTTGCTCTTCTCCAGATGACTGCTGATGCCCTGGTCTACAGCTTTGCATTGATCTACACACCCAGGGGTATTAATGGCCTCCCCATTGTGAGGACCAATGGTGCTGTGGTTGGCATTGAGTGTCACTACTTGAGGTGAGGATGCCCCATAAGCTTTGGTGCTTCCTAGCCATAGGAGCCATTAATTCTAGTGACTGACCCAAGTGGGTAGTGGTGGCTTAATGATTTGGGAAGTGCACTTGTAACAAAGATTGCAGGTTTGAGTCCCTGACCAGCAAGGCACCACTGAGTTACCCTGAGCAAGGTACTGCCCCAAGCACTACTCCCCGGGTGTGGAATTAGCTGCCCCTGCATGTCACGATGTTGCATATGGGTTAAATGCAGATGACGCATTTCTTCAGTTTGTCAACAATGACCACTGATCTCTAAATCATGCTTGCTCCTTAGGAAACAAAATGTGAGCAGCAATGCCCTGGTGCCAACCTGGATCCCCTACTATGCCACAATGGC